CTTGCGGACACACACGCTTGCTCTGTCTGTTCCTTTCCCTAGTGTTTGGGGGCTGGGGGCTGAGAGAGGGACATGAGATGTTTTTTAAATAGCTATAACTAACTGTATCAAACCCAATCTGAGAGCAAGCTGGATATTACAACGTATTACACGTTTAATGCGGTTGTCTTTTCCCTTTCAAAATATCTCTGTGTTTACATGCTTTTACTTTGGAAGGGTGTCCGGAAGCAGTTCTTTTTTTATCGCCGGCTTTTTTTCGTGTAAAAATTGCTTTAGCTGACAGGTGCTGACTGAATTAAATTCTAGCCTTTACTAGGCAGAATTTTGTCGTGACATGTGTCTATAAACTGCATTTAAATCCCAAAAAGGTTTCGGAGGGGGGAAATGAAGACGCCGACCCTCGCGCGAGCTCCCTTTTTCCCGCAGCCGTTAGAGGGAATCAAGCCTAATTTCTACTGTCTGGCCAAAGGTTGTAAGTGGCTAAAAAAAAAGCCTTCAGCTTTTATTTTAACCGCGTGAAGTTCCTGTAAAGACATCTTATCCTGTAGAGACACCTCTTTATTTTGGGCTAATATGTGCTAGCTAATATTTGCTAGCAAGCAACTATTAAATGTAATATGCCGTCAATGACCAAAGCATCATAATTGGTACCGTAAATTGACTTAACAATTACGTTACGTTAAATTAGTAGTCGAGGTGGCCTCGTAATATTTTCAAAAACCGTCAAAATGTCTTATTTTTCTCTGAGTTTCGGATTTATCATAATATATTCCATAGCATAATTAGAACAGGCAGAAAACACCAAATACCCTAAGCACGTTCCAGGTGATTGCAGATATCGCGAGAATAAAAAAAAAAATCCAGACTAAAATAAACAGGTCCTGATTAAGTTAATTATTATGAGGCAGACTTTGCAATTCTAGGCAAGGAAAGCTATTTTACAGCACATTTCGTGTACAAGACAATTCAAAGTGCTTCACAGAGAATTTAAAAGCAGGAAAACAACAAAAGAAAAATAATAAAAACGAGATAGATTCTGGATAAATTCTAGTGGACACATTCTAATGGACACATTCTAATGTCTTGATTTCTGGTTTTATTTTCTGTTGTAGCTGCAGGTTGTGCCTCCAAGGAGAAACAAATGTAGAAATGTTTATGGAGGATGATGGATGTCCCTATACCCGACCAGAGACCCCCTCCCTGTCAGCCCTGGGCTGTCCAGAATGGCTGGCCCAAGCTCACACCACCAGGATCCGTCCACCACCCACTGCCTAGCTTCCACCAGCTAAATCTGGGCTCGCCTCCTGACCAGAACCCCTGCTTCAGCTACCTATCCGGCGAGCCCCACCCCAGAGATCCTGGCGCCTGGTCCCCTACAAAGCGAATCGTTCCCGGGGAGAGTCACGGAAGGATCGCACCTCCCTTTTCTCTTCCTCTTACAAATGAAGCGACACAGCCTCGCAACTCCCAACAACCTTATTCGTCTCACTGCTCTTTCCAAGCTGCAGCCCCCCCGTACCAGCTGCCGATTGCATACCAGGGTCCTGCGAATGGACCTCAGTCACTGTATCAAACTCTTACCCCCGGTG